ATTTGAGATTCATCTCTATCCTTTTTCCTTTTGATCAAATGATTCATATCTTTTCTGGAACGACTTATGTTTTTTATTAATGTCATTCAAATATTAGTCTGTTGACATACCAGACCAAAAAACCCGTTGCCATCAAGTCAATTCTGACTCATAGTGACCTTACAGGACAGAAGAGAACTGCCCCATATGGTTTCCAAGGAGCAACTGGTGGATTTGCAACTGCCGATCTTTTGGTTAGCAGCTGAGGTCTTAACCACTACTTCATCAGGCCTTCTGTTGACACACAGTAACTAGGAATTCAACCAAAAAACTTCAGCTGTTTACTATATTCAGTAACCCTGTGATGTATGAGATTAGAAACATGACTAAGATCCTGTTCTTGACCTCAGAGACTTAAAATCCATAGCAGGACTGAGAAAAGTAGATAACTTATTCTACCTGGTAAGGTCAGTGAGATGAGAAGTAGTCAATGGAGAAGCAGTTGTATTTGGTTTGGGAAGTGAGGAGAATCTGTGAAGGCTTTAGAGATAGGTAGCATATGAGAAGGCCCTAGGAGAATAAATTGGATTTTGTGAAGAACAGAGGAGGAGGAACGGCACAGTGGGCAGAGACGACAGTGGAGCTGGAGGCACAGAGACAGAAAAACATGAGATGCATTCAGGAAACCCTTAGTGGGTGGTTGTTTAGGAATGGATGGAAAGTAGGTAGTTTATATTGCAGAACACCTTGAATGCCAGTGTAGCGAGGTTAGTCATTACTTGGTAGATGGTAGAGAAACTTTGAAGATTTTTAAGTGGGACGGTGATATGAATAGAGCTGTACTTCAGGAGGAGCCCTGGCGTCAAAGTGGTTAAGAAATTGGCTGCTAACCAAAAGGGCGACAGTTCGAATCTGCCAGCTGCTCCTTGGAAACCCTATGGGGCAATTCTACTCTGTCCTATAGGGTAGCTATGAGTTGGAATCAACTCGACAACAGTGGGATTGTTTTTTTTTTTTGGTACTTCAGGAAGATGAATCTGGCATTGTTGTGTAGTATGGATGGAGTAGGAGGAAGAAAGAGAGAAAACTGAATTAGGAAGGTTAACAGTCTTGGGTGAGAAGTATTGAAGGCCTGATAGAGTGTTAGAAATTAAAAGAGAGATTTTATAGGTAGAAGCCATGTAACAACTGATTAGATGGACATAGGAAACACACATTAGCCTGTGTGGGAACAGGAGAATGGTGGAAACATTGGAAAAAATAGGAGAGAGGCAGAAGTACTGGTGTTGCAGTAGGTGAAGAGAGATTTTGGCCTTGGTTGTGTAGGTCGAATGAAATGCTGGCAGGATAGTTAGGTAGAGGAGTCAAACAGTGTTTTGAAAATGTTGTGTATGGGGACATTAGATATTAAAGATATTAGTGTTTTGATTCATAATTACAAATACACAGTACTTTATATCTAAAATTCAGCAAGGAGTTTTCAGCCTTTGTTGTCTTGTTTGTAGATCAGTCAGCAGCATTCAATACTTTGTTAGGCCCTGGGGAGAACGCAAAAGAAAAAAATTAAACACACACAATATTTAATAATTATCAACAATTTTGGCAGTCTTGTTTCTTTCATCTACCTGTAACAAATGCCTTAATATCTAATACTCAGTCTATGTTAAAATCTGATTAAAAAAAATTTTTTTATAGATTGGGTTGATAATATGTCTCTTTTATCCCTCTCCCCCCCATTATGCCATTTATTTGAAGAAACTGTAGATTTTGTCATATTCTAGATTTGGCTGATTGTGTCGTTGAGGTGTCCTTTAGTTTCTTTGTTCCCTATATGTCAGTCACCTGATAGTTGATCTGAGGCTTGATTTGATTCAGTTTTTTTTTTTTTTTTTTAAGGGGGTGGGGAAAAATACTTACAGGTTGTGCTGTATGTTTCCAGTTGTAGCACATCAGGAGGCGTATCCCACTTAATGTCCCACTTTTCAGTGATGTTAAGATTGGTCATTTAGTTCAGTTGTTGTCAGCATAATCCATACACCATAACGTTCCCCATCAACCTTTCATCTTTTTAGCAGCCAGTGGTGATGGTTGCTGAGAGCCTTTATACCAGTAGGGCTGTAAAATTATGACATTCTAATTCTGTCAATTTTTTCTGCATTTATTGGCTGGAATTCTTCTATAAAGAAGAACTTACCCTCATCGACTATTTGGCTGTTCTGAAATGTAGTTTATACAGGATGTACAGATTGAATGAATGCTCAGTTCTTTTGCTTTATTTGCCAGTTTTCAGAATAATGAGTTAGTTTTATACGTATCATTATGAACTCATGAATTTTTATATAATTGATGTTTTTCAGTCCGTTTGCAGTCATTAATATTTTTGATGCTCCAGTTATTCCATGTTGGCCAATGGGAGCCTTTACAGCTTGGCACTTGTGTCTTTTTGACATGATCACATTTGTCTTTAATAGATTTCTTGCTTTTGGACACATTAAAATGTCCCCGATCATCTTGAAATTTCTTGCCCCAACTTGGAATTAGCTACTTTTTCAAGGAGTCCTAGTTTAAAGAGATTTTTGAGAGAATAGGGTTTTCATTTTAGGAAGTATTAAAGAACAATACAAGATAGAGTGCAGGCATGTAAAATGATAGCAGTGTTCACATAATGTGTTTGGGGCTGTAAGTACTATAGGAGATACCACTGATTCATGGAATGGTTGGGTCGGGCATTTTGGAAAAGGTAAAACTGGAGCTGGGCCATCAAAAAGAGGAGAAAAATTAAAATTCATATGCCCATTGTAGGGGAGAGATAGCAAGGAGATATGAAAGAATGAAGGGGGAGGCGGTAGTAAAGGGGCCTGGCTAGTCGGCTTTAGTCTTGATCTTGCAGATGATGAGGAATAAGACAATGTTTTGAGTTTGAGAGTGACACTGAAAGCAAGCTTTTGAGAGTTAATCTTGCAGCAAGGTATTCATCTGTTTAAAGCAGTAGTTCTCAGCTGGGGATTTGCAACATAATCTTTGGAAAACTTAAAAAAAAAAACCATACCAGGACCTATGTCAACCTGTTGAATACCAGACAGGGGGGAGTCTGGACTCATCTCCTTTTCAGAAAACGCCTATGTGATTTCTGTTTTGTGCAACCCTGTATAAGGACTATTGAGTAAAAATTCAAAGAAAAGCTTGACTATTGCAGAAATTCTAGGTGTGGGGTAGTAATGATATGGATTAGAGTAGTGGCCATGGGAAAGAAGGGAGGGATAGAATAATACAAATTCATATTTCAGAAGTTTCCATATAGTATTTCATTAATAGTGTTAACACTGATAACAAGGATTCAAAGAGAAGGAAATAGTCAAAGATGACTCAAGATTTATGGTGTGCGGTCTGGGAGAACGATGTGGATAGAAATGGAGAGGTTGGCAGGGATTACTTGGTTGGGAGAGAAGTTACAGGTTTTTCGACATGATGAGTATTGAGATGATGGCTATATCATAGTGAACTCTGGGGAGTTGAAATGTGTTTTACATCTTGCTTTTTTCTGAATGCTTCATTCAGTCTGTTTTGGTAGGGAAAGTACTCAGCTAGTGAATATAAGTCATGCAGTATTGATTGAGAGAATTGATAACTGTAAGCTTTCATTTGATAAATATAATCACAAGAAACGTTTGCTATATTAAAAAAATAAACATCTATTCAGTGTAAAGTAAAATGGAAAACAGACTGGAAAAAACATTGCAGCAAATATATAAGTATTAATATTGATAAATATTTTAATCATTTCATTAAAAAAAAAGTCAACAACCAGGCCATGGACTTGAACAGATAATTCTCATAACTGGGAAATATAATTCGGTAATTCATTCATTCAACAAACATTTTCTGAGCGTTTACATCAGGTGCTGTTGTAAGTGCTAGCAAACAAGAGAGAGATCTCTGAGCATTCTTATGGTGGTGGCAGAGATGGACATTAGACACGTTCCAAAAAACACGAAGTTCAAGGAGTGATAATGCTATTACGAAAATAAGAGAATAGTGATATAGAGAGTGACTTTTGGGTTTTTGTTTTGTTTTATTCTTATTTATTTTTTGCTCCTTCCTGAGGAAGCTATTGGTAGTTGTTCAGCTGAAGGTTGGCATTCTTAATCTCTACTTAATTCTGTGGAAAACCATTGGTCAGATGTAAGTTCTGTTGGAACTCTCTAATAGTTGAAATCATAAAAACTTTTCTTATAGAATACAGGTTTCTTCTCCTGATTAGAGAGATCTCTTGTTTCTTGTGGAAACTACTTATGTGAGCTCTTTTCACAGAATAAGATTGGTTTTGTTCTGAAAAAATTCACTTTTTTTTCTGTGACTTCATTCAATAGTGAAATGTAGTGATTTGATTCTGCCATGAGTGAGTGGCACATCTGAGGATAGAACCTGGGTCTCTTGGATCCTTCTTTGCTTATTTTAGGGTGGTTCTTAGGGTCCAGTGGATACATATGAGAGGATTGTTGGCAGTTAAAGGAAATGGCTGCGGAGTTAAAAGTTAAAGGAACTGCCTGGAACTTATCTTTGTCCTTTGTTGTTTAATTAAGCATCATGTACACTGAATATTTTAAAAACTGTAAAGTATGGAAAGATCAATGCATTTCTTTAAAGAAGAGTCATAAGTGACTTTGCATATGGAAAGTTACTTGTTTAAGGAACTCTCTTTAAATAAACATTTTGTGCTTCTCATATATTTTTGAAGATTGAACCAGGAACACAAAGCAAGATGCCTATTACTTTGTGGTTGTATTTTTTATTATTGCATTTAGGGGCTTTTAGGTATGAGGAAGAGATAATGGAATAGGAAAACAAATTTCAGTCTTTAATTTTCTATTTGAATAATTTACTGTTGAGAATATCAGATTTGTAGGGGAGAAAAGGGATGAGGTTTTAAGAAATGGAAACAGAAATAGGATTAAGGTAGTAGCTCTTATGCTCAAGTTAGTTTAAAAATCTATGGATTTTTTTTTTTTTTCCTTTTAAAGGAAACTTGAACATAACTTCAGAAGAGGATTTGCTTCTTTATTTCTGGACTGCATATATATACCAAGGCCATCAGAATGTCGGGAGCCTCAGTGAAGGTGGCTGTTCGGGTGCGGCCTTTCAACTCTCGGGAGACCAGCAAGGAGTCCAAATGCATCATCCAGATGCAAGGCAACTCGACCAGTGAGTGCATGTTGTTTTCTGTTCATTATTTCTCACCTTCCTTCTGCCCTCCTGTCCCTTCTTGCTGTGATCAGAATAAATTCACATTTGGATATTAACACTTGGAACTTTTCTATTCTGAATGATCCATTGAATGCTTTTCCCCGCTGTGATATTTGCTGTAATATATTTAAATATGGGCTGTTTATTTTACTCTTTATAATTGAGAAATTCTTGGATAACGAAACTAATTTAAGCTAGTGTTAATGTTTTTTCCCTCAATTTTGATTTATTTTTTTGCGAATAGGTAAGACATTTACTCACATGGTATAAAATTCAAAAGGTATAAAGAGTGGGCAGTACAAAGACTTCCTCATGCCCTGTCACATAGTCAAACAGTTCCTCTCCCCAGAGGCAACGTGTGTTAGGCTTCCTTCCAGAGATAGTTTAAGCAGCAATATCTTATTCTAAGACAGTTTTTTCTTCCCTTTTTGTTAGTGATAGGGTATAATAGTTTATTTTTCAGTCTTCGCTTTATTTATATGTTTTAACTACCTGAATAATACAACTCATGTTTATAACTTGTAAAAGTTGATTCCTTTGAGATTTTAGCATGAAAAAATATCCGTATAAGTTAATAGGGCTTTTTTTTTTTTTAAATTAGCAAATCTATAATGGTATGATAAGTACTGAATAGAATATCAAAAAGTCATCCATTGCCTATCCAGGAGAAAAGACATATGCCAGTTTTACATAATTTAAAATATCAGAGTGTGTAGTGAAATTTAAAAGATTTTCTGTAATTCTGGGTAGTTATGAGGGATGGATCTGGGTCTGCTTGACTTTCCAACTTAGCAAGTTTTTGATCATCTGGATTAAAACTCACTAAGAGCTTATTGATGATTAAGAAAGAAGGACTTAGATGTCATTGTTTCTAAGCTATACATTTCTCTCTTTGACCTTGTTATTTCAATTGTATAGAAAGTAACACCAGTTTAGGAGAAAAAGTAAAAATTCCCCAAATATGATACTCACTCTGGATGAAGGATTTCAGACAAATGTTTTCAGTTCTGGAAGAAAGCAAACTGATGAAGAAAGTAAGATTCCTAATTGAACATATTTTGAGGATTAAAAAACCTATTGTTGTGGAGTTGATTCTGAATCATAGCGACCTTGTAGGACAGAGTAGAACTGCCCCATAGGGTTGCCAAGGCTATAATCTTTGTGGAAGCAGACTGCCACATCTTTCCCCACAAAGTGGCTGGTGAGTTTGAACCACTGACCTTTTGGTTAGCAGCTGAGCGCTTAATCACTGTGCCATCAGGGCTCCTCTCAGGGATAAAAACCTGTTGCCATCTAGTTGATTCAGACTCGTAGCGACCCTATAGGACACTAGAACTGCCCCATAGGGTTTCCAAGGAGCGGTTAGTGGATTTGAACTGCGGACTTTTTGGTTAGCAGCCGTAACTCTTAACCACTGAGACAGTAGGACTCCTCTCTTGAGGATAGAACCATATATTTTAGAGTTTGTACGAGTATACATTCTATATTTACCCATTTTTGCTATCTCCCACAGAAGTCTGTCCAGAATTATTGAAAATATTGATGTCTTTTGATGAAATATTAAAGAAGAGATACCTGATTTTTATTAAAAGTCATTAATAATTTGGCTTAAATAGATATATTGTATCAGTACCATAAAAACCAACTTGTGGACCACCTTAAGAACAGTACTGAACAATCAGTGGTTTTTCCACCATATTTTGTCCGAAACTTTTCTAGAGAACAGGCTTAGTGGCTCTGCCTTGCCTTGCCATTCCTTTCTTCCCCTTCCTCCCTTTTGAGAGTCTGCTATAATATGAGTCTGTAGGGATCAAAGTTGTATGTACCGTAGTACCCTGCCCTTAAGGAGGTTTTAAAGTCTGTGGTAGGAGAGATGAGACATACTGAAATAATATGAGGTAAAAATGATCAAAGTGAAAATTGTCATAAAAACAGGTTGTAAAAAAATCCAAGTGTGAGTTTGGCAAAGGGCAAATGTAAGGCTTCATAGGTGATACGGCATTTAAGCTAGATCTTGAGGAGTGAGATTTAAACTAAACATCCAGTTTAGTATTTGGGAAAAACTTCCGAATAGTAGTTTATTAGAACTGAAAGAAACTTTAGACATCGTCCAACGCCCCGATTAATGAAGCAGAACCAAAAAGTCCCAAACTTTTTGGGACTTTTTCACTTTTTTAAAATGGTAACATTAGGACTTGATACAAGGACTCCTGACCCTCAACTGGAATTCCTTTTCTGGTATAACACAGCACCTCCCTACACATTAAAACTATGAGGAGAAATTTGTGAATTTTAATTTAACACTGGTCTGCTGAAACAAAATATCATGAGATGAATCTGTTTGGAAAAATTAGGGTTGGTTTCTAGGTAAATACTTTCAAAGTTGACGACTGCTTTGCCTGTGACTCAGAGAGTTTGGGGTCATTTTGGCTCCTTTGAAAAGTTGTCTGTTCTTGGAAAGCTAATTATCTAATCTTATGAGAAACTTTTTCCTTTAGAATTTTTGGCATTTTCTGGTGTTTTACTTCTGTTTTCTCTTTCTTTTCGATTTTACATGGCAATTTGTTAGTAATTTGACATATTTATTGCAAGTAATTTTTTAAAACTTTTTTTGTGATTTAGGTGAAAGTTTACAGAGCAGATTATTTTCTCATTGTGCAGTTAATACACAGATTGTTTTGTGGCATTGGTTGCCAGCCCCGCGATGTGTCAACACTCTCCCCTTCTCTACCCCAGGTTCCCTATTTCCATTCGTCCAGAACACAAGTAATCTTTTAAGTGCTTGGAGAGGCATTTGGATGAAAGATGCTATGTCTAGAAAGTATTAATGGCTTGTTTTTAAAACACAAAAAATAGTGGTCTTAAGATTGTGAGAGTGCATGCATTTTGAACCTATAGTTGTTGCAAAAAATGAAATGAATTTGCTATAGCCACATGTGTTAGCTGTGTTAAAAGGTTGCTATGCTGGCAGCAGGCCTGGACTGCTGCTCCCAAGGATTATAGCTGATTGCAGATGGAATGCAACGGAATGTTCCTGCCGTAAGGTCTCTTATGAAAAAATAGGAGCGGGTGAAGAGTACTTTAGGGAAAATCTGAGAAATGAGTAGTCGCAGTTTTATTTAAGCACTTTCTGGTCTCGGAGGAGATATTTTCCACGGTGCAGATAAATGTTACTGCCTTGACATTTTGGGGACCCGAGTGCATACAGATGGCTTTGTTTAATAATATGCCATTATATTCCAGGTTTCTCCCACTTTGGAAACATTTTTGACTGTTTAATTACTTTTTAAAAAGGAAATTGGGATGAAGCTAATTATCTAACTGCTCACGTTTATGGTTAGGTTACATATGTAAATCTGGAGACGATGAAACTGTATAAATTCCCCCAGAAAAGCAGGAGGTAAATAATAAAGCTGGTTCTCCCTCATGATGTGAGATACACTCCTTCTTTTGATTGAGTTGTGACATTTTGCTCCGTCTTTAACCACAGGATTCTGTCTCTTGTCCTTTGCTAAGTCTCCTTCATGTATTTCTCAATCTTTCTTTGCCCAGAGGTTTTTTTTTCCTCAGTGCCCAAGTTTTAGTGGAATAGAAGTAACCCTATATTTTCTTGTTTATGGCTTACATTGTACATTTTTTAAGGCTTTTTCATTCACATGTGTACATTTCTAAGCCAAATATTTCACATCAAAACTGGTAAAAAGAATGACTTCAAGTCCACTGATGAAAATTTGGGATGGAGGAAAGGCAAGAACACAATGGAGGCTTGGAAAGGAAGATTTTTGAAAGGAATGCTTTTAAGTTTCTATGTTTTTTTCTCGCATAAATTAATATAACTGTGTGAAAAGAGGAGCCCTGGTGGTGCAGTGGTTAAGCGCTCAGCTGCTAACCAAAATGTCGGCGGTTTGAATCCACCAGACACTTCCTCGGAAACCATATGGGGCAGTTCTGCTCTGTACTATAGGGTTGCTATGAGTCAGAATCGACTTGATGGCAGCAGGTTTAGTTTTGGTTTGGTATGAAAAGAAATGTAAATGTATATGAATTATCTTTACAGACATCCTAGAAAGTAGAGATGAGGGGAAGAAAAATCACCTCTATTCTAACCTCCTTTTCACAGTCTATTGCCAGCATTGTTGATGAGTTTTCTTGTTGTTCCAGTTTGGTTAAATGGTTAAAATTAGGGTCTTAATGCAGTTGTGTATTCTAGTCTTTAGTTTTTTCTCTCATTGTTGACGTTCTTAGTTGCTGTCTAGTTAACTTATGGTGACCCCGTGTGTTACAGAGTAGAACTGCTCCATAGGGTTTTCTTGACTGTAATCTTAATGGAAGCAGATCTCCAGGGCTTTTCTTCCATGGTGCTTGCTAGATGGGTTTGAACCACCAACTTGTAAGTTAGCAGTCGAATGCAAACCATTCGCACCACCTAGGGGCATCTTCCCTCATTAGTATCAGCTAATTCTCATTTGCATTTTAGTCTGAGTTTCTTAACTTGGGGTCTATGGATAGACTTCTGAGTGTCAGGGAACCCCCTGAAATTATATGCAAAATGTATGTTAGGTATTTTCCTCAGGAGAGAGTAATCACTTTCAATACATTTTTAGGGGATCTGTGTCTCAAAAAAAAAAAAGGTTAAGAATCACTAATTTTCCAAAGTCTTTTCCAGGATAAGCTAGGACATAATTAGTTAAATCAGAATAAGGTATAAACTTCATAGCAAAATGTCTTAGTTTCTTAGCGCTGCTGTAACAGACATGCCACAGGTGGTGGCTTTAACAAACAGATTTATTTTCTCACAGTTTAGGAGGCTACAAGTCTGAATTCAGGGTGCTGGCTCTAGGAGGAGGCTCTCTGTCTATTCTGGGGGAAAATCCTTGTCTCAGCTTTTATAGTATTCTTTTCAGCATTCCTTGGTTCCTTGGCAATCTCCAAGTGATATCTGTATTTCCCAGGTTTGT